AAAAATCATATCACTTGATACAGAGTACTAACAATCATATCATTACCAACAAAATACTAACAATCGTATCACTTGATAACAGAGTACTCACAGTCATGTGATTTGTCTATCCTTCATAGGAAGTCAAAATCTGCTGGCGACAACTGTACACGTGCGCAGCCGCCTTGCAGGCTGTAGCGAAACTCAAACTCAACCAACCCAGTGAGTACGTTCATAACCCTGAATGTATATACATACTATGACACAGTGAGTACGTTGATAACACTCAATGTATACACATACTATGCCACAGTGAGTACGTTCATAACCCTCAATGTATATACATACTATGACACAGTGAGTACGTTCATAACACTCTATGTATATACATACTATACCACTCTGTGTTCGTCCTTGGCATTCAATGCATATACATAGTATGACACAGTGAGCATGGTCATGCCACTGCTTGGGCAGTACACACAGTTTCTGAGTAAGTGGATATAGGTCGAAGTATCATGTGGTTTTCGCAACCGCTGAGTACTATGAACCTTTCCAATCATAGGCAGCGGAGAGCATCTCAATTGCCTACGCTGTAATAGTGGCGACCATTTCATATGTCTATAGGCCATCTATTTATAGCGACCAATCAATATCTTCATAGGGCGGTGCATTGGTGTGATCTGTCTTTCATCTTGGGCGCGCCTGTCCCTGAGCATTTGATATGTCTATAGGCCATCTATTTATAGCGACCAATCAATATCTCCATAGGGCGGTGCATTGGTGTGATCTGTCTTTCATCATGGGTGCGCCTGTCCCTGAGGCTGCCATACAACGGATCGTACGTGTTGCCGAAAAAGATCTGTTGCCCAATCGCATCCCAGGTAAGCAGTCACCCTCACAAAGAAAGGCACGGTGATCACACAGGGCACAGACTCTTACTGCACCCTCCCATTAAATGGTATGGATATTAATGGTACGATTATCAATGGCATGAGTATTATCACTGTGAATATGAGCGTTACTACTCTGAATGTTACTGTGATGCGCACGCAAGAGATTAAGATCCAATCCATTGCCCATCAGCCCCACAGGCCGTGCTCGAGGACTGTGTGGGTATGTAGACTTAATTTGGGGTTGACGTCTTGTTTTTTAGGGCTTTTGTTTTAGGGGTTCGTTGACATAATGATAGCAATGGTTCAGTTGGGATGTGCACTTTCTGCGCTGTGCCCTTCTGCGATGGCACATATCTACATATGCTACGCCACACCACAAATACAAAACCCTAACAAATGACATAACAAAAGACACATCTTAGCGTTCCCATAGCAACAATACCTGCTCGCCTGTAAGCACGCACCGACGTCACGCGACTCACCCCTCAAGACCAATCCAACACCCTTCTCACCAGACCATTCCCACACTCCACCACACCACACAGAATGTCTGTTGACCTCGCACGCGTCTGCGTCAGTGCCATTGCGAGCGTTGACCTGTCACCAGTGCGCACAGCTGCAGCCAATCCCACGAGTGACGGCACCCGCACTCATGGACTTCTTAAAGGATTATATGGACACGCAGACACCCGTCATCATCACTGGC